ACATATCTCAGACATTTTTGCATCAACATAGCATGCCATGATATGTGCTGCACAGACAAGTGCATCTCTACAATGTGTGCACAAAATACGTTAGAGCCTTTAGAGCTAATTTGACATCAGAATTATGTTCTGAATTATGGAAATTAACTGCTATTGATGCCATAACTTCCTGTGAACATGCAAACATGAACTATTCAAATCATTATTATGAAAGTTGTACAGTTTTTGTATGAATGGCCCCTTATATACCATTTGTTTAAAGCCACACTGTGCTGGTCTGCTGTTTTGTCAATCTCTTATCACCCTGTCTGGGATCTTTTGAAAGTTAAGACCGTTTAGGGGACAGTACTCATCCTTCCCGCCCTCATAAAAGGTGAAATATGAGAACATTAAAACATTGCTGTTAATCTGTCTGTTGGAAGCAGCACCATTAATCTTAATTAATTCACTACATTATATTTCTCACTTAATTACACATGCTACAAAGGAAAATTGCCCAGAAAACGTGCCTCTCGATCCATCATGGCTGCCAGCAGGTTGTGCTATCTCTAGTAATTACCAAAGGTTCTCACACCAGGGACATGAGAATGTCTTGAAAATTGAGGATCGTATTATCAAGCTGACGGCTGTAAACTTAACTTCTCGTCAGTTCCTCCCTGTAGAATATAAACATCATTCTTCGGAGGTAAGCTTCATATTCTATATTCCAAACATACTGACCAAATTTGGTGCAGGTTAACATTGACTTAATGCTTGTAGATGATACACATATTCCTTTAAATAAAATGAAAAAAAAAAAGAAAAGAAAATAAGACACTGTTCATGTACTGTACACTTTTAAGAAAAATGGTTTTAAATACTACCAAATTAGGGGGTTTGGCTTGTAACAATAGCAGAACCCATACTGATGCTAAATGGAGCCCTTTTTATAAGGTTCCATAAAGAACCTTGCTTTGGAATTGCTATATACAACCTTAATGGTGTTAGAAATAACCATTTTAATAATTGTTTATTTTAATTAATATTTGTGTATTTATATTATTAATATTAGCTTTATATATATTTGTCATATATTATTTATCAATGCATCTGTCTGGTCTAATATCTTGTAGTGTCTATTAGGGTTTTATGTAAAAAAAAAAAAAAGAATGTTGTGTTAATTGGGTACTTTTATTTTTGACAGTGAAATTGTAGCAAAAGTGACAGTGCTGTAACAACATCAGTTCTTACCTGAATTCATTAATAAATGACAGCTAACATTGAACATGAATAGATAGATAAAGAAGTAAAACATACAAAACAACTATAAACAAAATAGATGTTAGGAAGAAAATATCTTCACTAAAAGGCATCAAAGAGGATTGTGTAGATATTTAAGTCCATCATGTTTGTATTTTGGTGTAATTGAGAGGCAGTTTCTATCTGCAGAAACTAACACAAAACTAACACAAAGGACTGTTTCAGAAAAAAAAAAAAATATATATATATGTATATATAAGAAAAAGGATATGGTTCTAAATATAACTGTTTTACTATGTGCAAAGTGTTATGTTCAACAAAAACACATGAAAACAAAGCTTCGGGTGAATGCTAGTTTACTCAAAGAACAAAATATCTTCACTAAAAGGCATCACAGAGGATTGTGTAGATATTTAAGTCCATCATTATGTTTGTATTTTGGTGTAATTGAGAGGCAGTTTCTATCTGCAGAAACTAACACAAAACTAACACAAAGGACTGTTTCAGAAAAAAAAAAAAATATATATATATGTATATATAAGAAAAAGGATATGGTTCTAAATATAACTGTTTTACTATGTGCAAAGTGTTATGTTCAACAAAAACACATGAAAACAAAGCTTCGGGTGAATGCTAGTTTACTCAAAGAACTTCAGCGGCAACAGAATGGAATACGGTAAAACTGTGAAGCATGCACATCAGCATGTCTTCACGACAGTATTACTACAACAGATAATAACAACGAAGAACTGGTTAGCAACCACAACATTTTCCCCCTCCCACCAAGCTTAAGTATGAAACATAGCTTCAAAGTCCTGGAAGTGTGCAGGATGTGCCCTTGTCCTCACGGGGGGAGATGTCATAGGGGCATCTTCAGATTGTGGGCTCTGACAATGTTCGGTTCTTGCTTCCTGTCCGGTGACTACATCAGGATCCAGATTTAGTGGCGGCAGAATGGGGTCCATAGGCCGGTTCAGGTTTTCCTCCATAATAGAGGGGGTGGGCACTGGGCACCCTTCGAAGACAACTGGCATGCCAGCGGGATCCATTAGCTAACTCAAAAGTGACTGGCCCAAGCTGCCGTTTGACCTGGAGTGGCTCAGACAGGAAAGAGCTCAATTTACTGCTGCAATGTGGCCTACAGGCTCTTACCCAATCCTGTACTCTTATCTTTGTGGGCCGAACATGATGCTTGCTGTCATATCTGGCTCTCATGTTGCGCTGATGTTGATGAACCCGTGCCCTAATCGAAGTGTTCACTGTGAGCTGATGAGATGGGCGCAGCCTGCTCAACGGTAATTCTAGTTCCCTGCCAAGCATGAGACAGGAAGGGGACACCCCAGTGGTGGCATGTTGGGTAGCACGATAATGCAAGAGGGTCTGGGAGAGAGCAGTCTTAAATGGGAAACCTTGGGCAAGGTGTGCACGTATACCATTTTTCAGACTTTGATTAAATCTTTCCACGCCGCCATTAGCTTGAGGATGGAAGAAGGCGGTACGTATATGGGCTATGCCCCTGGCAGCCAGGTACGATGAAAACTCTCTGGAAACAAACTGCGGCCCATTGTCAGTGGTAATGGCCCGTAGGATTCCCCATCGGGAAAAGAGTTGCTCCAGGAAATCAACCATTGCGGAGGCTGTAACTGAGCCCATCCACTTGTTAAGTCTGACGTCACGTGTCACCGCTTCCGTGTATAAAAGCTCTATCAGATACCATGAGAAAACAACAAAAGGTGCTAATATACACTCACAATGTGATATAATACTACCAAAAAAAATTATAATCCTAACCTTTAACTCCATACCGAAATCCCAGATAGCCAGACAATGAAAATATAAATATAAATAAATAAATATAAAAATTATTTGTGTTTGGGACGCTGTCAGCCTGAAGACTGTAGTGTAGACCGTAAGTTTGAAAACGTTTAGCTTAAATGTTTAATATGAATAAACAGTGCTCATAAACGGCTGCTGAGGTAGTATTCTCAAGTGAAGCGAGTTGAGGCTTGGACCCGGAAACAGCGCTTCTTAACACCACTTAACAACCGAATAGGCACAACCTCGGGCCACATTGAGTGGAGGTCATACACCACAACTAGAAACCGCTGATGGTGAGGAACAGAGATGAACTCCCCACAAATGTCCATCTGTAGATGCTCCCATGGCTTGGTGGGCCAGTCAACAGGTTGCAAAGGTGGCGGTGCTGGAGCACTTGTTTTACCACTAAGAAAACAAGCTGTGCACAGTCACGTACAAGAGCTTCTAGCTCTCTGTCAATCCCTGGCCACCAAACCAAATCTCGGCACCTCTGCTTCAGTCTAACTACCCCCACATGACCCTCGTGTGCCATTGACAGCACCCGCCCCCTAAGGGACAGAGGAATGACTGCTCGGTGCCCCCGTGCAATGCATGACTCACCCCAACATGTCGGGAGAAAGGTGTCAGGTCAGCGCTTACCCGAGCTGGCCAGCCGTTCTGAATGTAGGTGCTCAGGGTAACGAAGAGTGGGTCTGCTGCAGACTCTTGCTTAAGTTCTTCAAGAGACACTGTGGCCTGTAAGAGCTCATAAACTAACTGCACAAACTCATTCTCCATATCTGACTCTGTCTGCTTGGCTGTGCTAGTCGGCTCCGCAGCTGAATGTGACAGGAAATCTGCAACCAAGTTGTCTTTTCCAGGAGTGAACAGCAGCTGGTAGTTGTACTGATTCAACCTGTCAGCCCATCGGTGGAGCCTGAGGGACTTGTGACCCGTTCCAGGGGGACATGAGGGTAGTGAGAGCCTGATGGTCTAGAGTAAAGGATCGTCCATATAAATACATGTGCCAGCGTTCACACGCCCAAATGCACGACAATTCCTCTCTCTCCCACTGAGTATTTCTGTTCCGCCATACTCCGAGCCCATGAAGCAAAAGCAATAGGCCTTTCAATGCCATCATGCAGCTGTAAGAAGACTGCTCCGACTGCTACTGCTGATGCGTCACATGTCACCAGGGTGGGGCTGGAGAGATCAAAATGAGCTAGAGTTGGTGGTGACGTGAGGAGGTGTTTGAGTCGTTGAATAGCCTGCTCACAATCCGCTGTCCATGCCCAGGGGGTGTTATGCTTGAGTAGCTGTCGTAGAGGGGCAGTGATTTTTGAATACTGAGGTAAGAACCTGAGATAGTAAGCAGTCATGCCGAGGAAGGATGCAAGCTGTACAGCTGAGGTTGGCACTGGAAGGTTGAGAATGGCTTCAACGTTGGACTGCAATGGTGCGATACCTGAGCTGGACACCCGAAGACCAACAAAGTCTAATGCTGGGACAGCAAACACAAATTTTTCTGTTTAATGTCAGATTGTGTCTAGACAGAGCTGTGAACACCCGTCTGAGGCATGAGTCATGAGTAGCCACGTCCTTTCCATGTACTACAATATCATCTAAGTACACAGCCGTACCTGGGAGCCCTGCTAGGACAGTTGCCATGATTTTCTGAAAGCAACTAGGTGCTGGACTTAGGACAAAAGGAATTATCTTAAAACGGAAAAAAACCCATGTGAGTCACGAATGCAGTTAGGTTTCTGCTGTCCTCGTGTAGGGGTATCTGCATGTAACCTTGCTTAAGATCCAGCTTTGTGAACACTGAGGAGCCATAGAAGAGTGTCGTGAGTTGTCGGCAATGGGTATTTGTCTGTCACCACAGCCTTGTTAGGCCCCCGAAGGTCAACGCAGAGACGTATGCCCCCAGACTGTTTTTGCACAATCACAAGATTTGAGACCCAAGGGGAAGCATCAATGGGCTCAATGAAGTCTGCAGCTAGCATGCCCTGTAGTTCAGTGGTGACCTTGTCGCGCAAGGCTAGAGGCACTCGTCGCAGTGGCTGGATTACAGGCGGTCTATCTGGGTAAAGCAGGGGTTTGTGGGAAAAAGCAGAGAGGCAGCCTAAACCACTGAATAGAGCGGGAAACTGTGTCTGCCATGGAGAGTCCACCCGAAGAATGGTTGCACCGCTGTTGTCATGTAGAGAAAAGTTAAGCCTAAGGAACAGGTCAAGACCCAGGATATTAGCGCCAGTATTAGGCTGTGAACTGGACTTTGATCTGCACCACCTTGCAAAGTGGTTGAGCTTACCACAATGTCTACACTTTTGGCCGATAGCTGGGCAGTCTGGGGTCCTGTTGGCATGACGAATGGAGCCACAGTTGCCACATTTCCGTCTTTGGTGACTTGACTGTGGCTGTGTTTGCTGGATGATTGCCCCAATGAGGTCTGCAGCTAGCATGCCCTGTAGTTCAGTGGTGACCTTGTCGCGCATGGCGAGAGGCACTCGTCGCAGCGGCTGGATTACAGGCGGTATATCTGGGTTAAGCAGGGGTTTGTGGGAAAAAGCAGAGAGGCAGCCTAAACCACTGAATAGAGCGGGAAACTGTGTCTGCCATGGAGAGTCCACCTGAAGGATGGTTGCACCGCTGTTGTCATGCAGAGAAAAGTCAAGGCTAAGGAACAGGTCAAGACCCAGGATATTAGTGCCATGCGGAGTTATGTAAAATGGAAACTCTGGTAGACGTTTTTGCCCATATTGTACTGGCAGTTTAACTACTCCAGTCACTGCAATGCTGGCTTGGCCATAACCACAGAGCTTCAGAGGTGATGGTTGTAACTCAACATCAGAGAAAAATGTATTGTAGGTGGCCATATTAAGCAATGACACTTTAGCTCCTGTGTCAAGAAGCAGCGGAATGCAACAGTCTTTCAGCTGCACACCACATGTAGAGAAAGTGACTGAGTGAGGAACAACTGTATGAATTACGGCTGGTGAAGGCTGCGAACTGGACTTTGATCTGCACCACCTTGCAAAGTGGTTGAGCTTACCACAATGTCTACACTTTTGGCCGATAGCTGGGCAGTCTGGGGACCTGTTGGCATGACGAATGGAGCCACAGTTGCCACATTTCCTTCTTTGTTGACTTGACTGAGGCTGTGTTTGCTGGATGATTGCACCTGCAGGCTGGAACTCCTCATCCATGACTGTATTTGCAGGTACAGAGGTGACATCAGTTTTAGCTGCATTAGTCTCTGCTATTTTAGCTGCACAGTGTAGCTTCTTCAATTTGGAGTGCCAGCGTCAGAGCCTTATCCAAAGTAAGTCTATCATCTTCCATAAGCAGCTTCTCTCTGGCCCGTGCACTGTTTGTTTTTTCAATAAGTTGGTCTCTAATTAATTCGTCACGGAGAGCACCGAATTTGCATGGCTCAGCAAGGCTTTTTAAATCAGCGACAAACTGACTGGCTGATTCACCCGATCGTTGGCATCTTTGTCTGAAATTTAGGCGTTTCAACAGCACTCTATGAGTCTTTTGAAAATTTCCTTTTAGTCGTGCAACAGCGTCAGAGTACGTATTTGCAGCGCCGAGCGTCTGGAAGATCCGTAATCCCTCAGCGCCGAGACAATGGATGAGAAGTGCGCGCTTTCTCCCATCCGGGACATCATCCAAGCCCGCGGCTACAAGGTACGTCTGAAACGACACATACAAGCTGCATTAGTCTCTGCTATTTTAGCTGCACAGTGTAGCTTCTTCAATTTGGAGTGCCAGAGTCAGAGCCTTATCCAAAGTAAGTCTATCATCTTCCATAAGCAGCCTCTCTCTGGCCCGTGCACTGTTTGTTTTTTCAATAAGTTGGTCTCTAATTAATTCGTCACGGAGAGCACCGAATTTGCATGGCTCAGCAAGGCTTTTTAAATCAGCGACAAACTGACTGGCTGATTCACCCGATCGTTGGCATCTTTGTGTGAAATTTAGACGCTTGCAGCACCGAGCGTCTGGAAGATCCGTAATCCTTCAGCGCCGAGACAATGGAGGAGAAGTGCACGCTTTCTCCCGTCCGGGACATCGTTCAAGTCCGCGGCTACAAGGTACGTCTGAAATGACACATACCACCGCTCCCACGGCATGACAGGTTTACCAGCGTGGGGCAGAAATGGCTCAGGGTGAGGCAGAGATAAAGCCATCCTCGTCGCCAAATGTTATATTCAACAAAAACGCATGAAAACAAAGCTTCAGGTGAATGCTAGTTTACTCAAGGAACTTCAGCAGCAACAGAACGGAATACGGTACAACTGTGAAGCATGCACATCAGCATGACTTCACGTCAGTATTACTACAACAGATAATAACAACAAAGAACTGGTTAGCAACCACAACACAAATAACCTTTATATACCTTTAATACAGGTCAAGACTTTGCTTGAAGACAGTGCCAAACCTTATGAATATTGAGTTAAATGAGAACAAAATGCATATTGATCACATCTGAAAGAAAAAAAGGGGGGTGAAGACACTCCTACACATTTGCTGGTACTTTAATTAATTTATCAGTCAGCTCACTTCCTTAAAACTTCCTTTTTTATTTACTAATTTATTTTCTTAGTAGACTGAACTTCTGTTAATTTTTGATAATGTGCTGCATTACACACTCAACGCACCTGTGAGTTCAGCTGCCGCGTTGCAGATGTAATGAGTCCACAGTGCTGCTTCGCATTTAAACTTGAGTAAATAATCCACTTGGAACCAAGCCCTTGTATTGTTTAAAAATGCATCTCGCGTGTGTCTTACAGAAGTAGAAAGTAGCCTTAGGAGTTTCACTAACTGTCAGTCACAGATGCGGCAGACAAAGTGCAGATTATATTTAGAAACTTCTGGTCTAGTCTAGGATGGCTGTACTTTAGTGACTTGTATGAAGAAGACAAAGAAGAGCGGCAGTACATGTTCTTTCTGTTTTCACTTTAATATTCCCGTGTGACTGTTCTGAAAATAGGGCACCATTACAGCTTCACCAGTCATTCCAGCTTCACTGACACCATCAATCTCCCTCATTACTAATTAGCCATCAATTCCACCACCGCTTGTTTTTCAGTGAAAGGACAATGTCAGAATAAACCTCCATGACTCTCTGTTTCACTGTCCACTTTGAAAAATAAATCAATTAATACATTGGCCTTGATTGACCTCCCAGCGTTTGATTGATATTCTCATCAATGGCGGTAAAAGATGCCCTTGCCCTAGCACTTGATAAACTCAGGATTTTAAGTTCTCCAGGATGTAAACTGAATGACTGAACTATACACAGGTAGGCCTAAGCGTTATACAAAGGCTTTTTCATTTTTTAAAATTCTGTTAAAAAAATCTGAATTTAAATATCTGTTTTAAATAAATGGGTTTTCATTTGGATAATAATATTTTTTTTTTTCAAAAGAAAAGCATTTATTTGAAATTTTTTTGTAACAATTAAAGTTTTTATTGTTATTTTTAAAAGATATTACTACTACTACTACTACTACTACTACCACTACCAATACAATAATTAAATTTTCCCCTGAAGTGTTGTTTTCTTTACAAAGGAAATTTGCAACAATCTAGAAATTCTACAAGTATTACGATTAGACAGGAAATCCAATACTCCATTAATCCAATAAACACTTTTGATGAAAAATAAAAGGTTACATTTTACTTGAAGGGGTGTGCATAAGACTGACATGACACCTTCATAATCATGACATGACACCTACATAATCATGACATGACACGTCATGAATATGAAGTTTTTTTATGCATGTTTATGACAACTGTCATTAAGTGTCATTCGCTCAGTTATGTCATTTTTAATGCAAAGATGACATTGTTTGAGATGTCTTTGTTATGGGCTATGGTTAGGGGTAAGGGTAGAGGTAGGGTTAGGTTAGGGTTAGGTTAAATAATGTCATATTTGCATTAAAAATGACATAACTGAGCTAATGACACTTAATGACAGTTGTCATAAACATGCATAAAACCTCCTTCATATTCATGACGTGTCATGTCATGATTATGAAGGTGTCATGTCAGTCTTTTGCACACCCCTTCAAGTAAAGTGTTACCAAATAAAATAAAATAATAAACATCATCTATTATACACAATGATTATAATACCAGAATATGTGATACCTTGCAGTTCAAATGCATCAAATTGATGTTAATCTTACACATGTAGACTCTGGACAAACACTGATTTTTCTAAAAACGTCTAATTGGCATCATCTACCATTCCTCTGCTTGAATGATTAATGAAATAAAGTCTGCCAGCGTAAGCAACATGCTCTTGTGGGCCCATTAGGAGTCTTCAATGACAGCCGTAATATCACTTCTGATTAGTCACCTCTAACTCAATCTTCATCCCTCTTCAATGAACACATTATTTTCGCATTGTCAGAATCACTGTGCATATCAAATCGGACTGTACATTTTAAACGCCATCTAAATTGCTCAGCCACACAGTGGTTGATCTCAGCACTGACTGCTTTCAATTGCTCATTCCTGTATTTAAGTGACAAAACATTTGCCTTGTTGAAATGTCCTTATGCCCAAAATTCCTATTCTCAGCTGCCACCTCCTCTTCTGCCTCTCTAATAACCTTAATCAGACCAATTACGTAATGCTTTGATGAACCGAGGCAGTCAGCTCAATTACATTTTGCTGAGGTGGCCACTTTTATAACAGAGGTGAGGGTTTGTGGTACTGCGCCCCAATCACCTGTCATCAATCAAGGAGGGAGAAATATTTGGAGATCCCTCCTAAGCTCTGACAGTTCAATGCAGCGAAGGCCAAGGTGACTCCTCTGTTTTAATTGCTTTCCACTTTTATGGCTTCATGTCTCCTGTCTCGTGGGGCTGTTGCTCTCGAAAGGTTCTCTTTTTTTTTTTTGGTGGCACGCTGTGCCCTGCCGGGTTGTTCCTGAAGGATGTCTGCTTGATGGACAGGTTGACATTGAGTGAGTGAATTACTTGTGCAGATAGTGCAAAGGTTCTTCTGGAAAATAAAAGCCATTGAAGTCATTAAGTTTAGACAGTATTTGAATTACAAATGTAGAGATTTCAAGTTCAGTTCATCAGTAAACACTGCATTTGTCTGTTTTTTTTAATTATTTTTTTAAAGGGGTCATGCATAAATAAAATGCATAAACAAAAATGCATAAATACTCAGTACATATCAAATGATATGTAATAACAGACAAAGCAATAGTGACCACATAATAAAAACAGTTACTCACAGTAGTGTGTTGTGACATTACTGTTGGATCCAAGACTGTCAGCAAAGCATCCTCTTTTAGTTTCAATATTTCTGAAAACCCTGCTTGGAATTGTGCTTTGTTTGTAAACAAATCCATGAACAAAGGACCAAGTTCTTACTGATGCGGTCTGGATCTGCACAGTGTCTTCTTGAGTTCTGAGTCATCTTTATCGTTTAATTTCTGTGTAGACCTGCATTTGCCTCTCTCATCATTTACACTACATGCATTGAATCGGTGGGTGTGGCTAATCAGGCAGTGATGTAGAAGCAGGTGTTGATCTTCTGTGGAGGTGGTGCTTAACCACACTATTACATCATAAAGTGGCAACATTCCACAACCTGTCATTTTGCCAGATTGGCTTCAATATAAGCTGTTTTTAGACTAACGAGAAAGTTTTGAGTTCTGAAACTTACAGGGTGTTTTTATAGTGCAGTGACCTCTTATATGTCAAAAGATCAAGGGAATTTTGATTTCTCAGTTCATGACCCCTTTAACTAAATTCAAAGGACCGGTTCATACAAAAATTAAACTTCTATCCTCATTCAGACATATGACTTTTTTTCCTCTGTGGAGCACAAATTGAGAAATTTTGGATGTACTAGTAACATTTTCCACACAGTTTGAATGAAAAAAATATTCTTTTGAGTCTTGCAATGATCTACACATTTTTTGATTGATCAGGTGTACTGTAAATGTGAATGAGAAATCTGGTTCAGCTAATAACAACAGGCTATCAATACAACTCAAACTTGGATTAAGTGCACAAAGGCCACTTTTATGATACTTTTCATGGTGCCTTTTTCAAGCTTGAAACATCCAGTCCTATTTCAGTGTAATTGCACAAAAAAGCCTGAACAGTACCTTCTTTTGTATTCCAGAGGAACAAAAAATCATACAGGTTTGAAACGGCATGAAGGTGTGTAAATGATGACAGAATTATCAATTTTGTGTGAGCTATCCCTTTAAAAAATGCAACAACCAGTCTAGTGTTCCTTCTATTCTTCTTTCTTAATTCTTCTCACATATTGCACTTTTACTCTGATACAGAAGATACATATTGCTCATTCACTTGTATCTTTCATCTTGTGTTTTTTTGTTTGTTTTTAGATCTCTGTTTGACTCCAGACCATTTTCAGTTTTGTGCCCCTTCCCAATTCCATAATCCTTTGCTCTTTTCTCATATCTCATCTCAAAGACCAACATTCAGCTTCTTTCTGCAATAAATTCCATAGCTCCCTGCCTTGCTCTCTGTCTCTCTTCCTTTGTGGATTTAAAGCTGGCGAAATGAGGAGAAAAATAAGTTTTTAAAAATGTCCCCCCCCCCCCAACATTTCCTTTCAATTAATTTTTCTCCCCTTTCCTTCAAAATGTAAGTAATTTAGTGCTTCAGTCACAATGCCTCACGTTAATAGAAATGGGAGAATTCTCTTGTTCTCAAATTATATTGCAATCAAATGTTTATGAAAATGCCACAGTGATTGCAATTAGAATTGGATTGCATTGCCTTTGCCCTCTGTATGATTAAGTCTCCAGCTCATCCTATGGGATGTACACTGACACATTTTTTTTCATTCATCCAATTAAAAACATTTAGGGTAATGATTCACATCTATATTTTGTAACTTGAGCCAATGAAAAATAAATAACTTGCCCTAAGGCAACTTACAATTTTTTGTCAGTGTACAATATGGCATGGAAGTCTGAGGAAGTCTCTGTATACCAGGACTGCATTATTCAGAAATGAACTGAGAGCACATTTCAAATTATAAATCTAATTGTAGAGTTTCAACTAAATTAACAAACAGAACTCTGTTTGAATATAAATACGTAAAATTTAAATTCAAAGAAATTCATGACTGTTATAATATATATTTTTAAACTTTTTTTAAAACCCTTTTTTCCCTTAACTTTTTTAAAAGCATGCTAGCTTAAATGAATAATAAAAAAAAAACACACACTAGAACCATTAAAAAAGGGAGAAAAGAAATTAGATTTGAAGTGAAGTGAAATTAAAGTATAGTTCTTTTTAACTTTTTAAAACCTTTTTTTCTTAACTCTTTAAATGTGTGCTACCTCAAATGAACCAAAATACCAGAAGAGCACCATTAAAAAAGGAAAAAAAAAGTGTTCATGCTGATTTCTCACTCTTATGGTGGCAGAAAAATAAACTTGAATATCTTGAATCTTGACATGCTTGCTGATGGGCAAATTAGACTAGTTTTGCAATTTGTAAAAGTCTTACAAATTCACGATTCAGAGGAAAATGTTTTGTTGAGCACATTTTTGACTTTGATCCCTGCAGCACTTACCATGCCATTAAAAATATGCTCATAGCCTTTCAATTATGATTGGCTATATATAGAGACTGACTGGAGAATTAAAACAGGATTCTAATAGCTTTTCTAAACACTCTTACACTAACAGAGCTTTCATACATTTAAAGGGGTCATATATGATGCTGCTAAAAATAACATTATTTTGTGTATTTGGTGTAATAAAATGTGTTTATGCGCATGTGGGCGGTATAGCACATCCCAGGTTAGCAATTATTTCTACATAAATAGAATAATTTTGGTATTCACTTCAAATGAGCAGGTGGGCTAGTGGTGTCCAAGGGACCAGATAGAATCTGTGCGTAGAAACATTTAGCGTGGTTGACAGCGTTGACTCTTTCTTTGGAAGAAGTTTAAAGAAACCACTTAGACCATCAGAAGACTTTCTTGTAAAATGTGCATAAAATGTGGGGAAAAAAGTCAATAATAAATAAAATATTTGTGAAAAGGTATCTTTCTCTTCCTCCTTATGAAAATATGTACATTGCTCACTATGGGTTGTATATGCAGCATTTTCTTCAAATCAGCTTTGAATCTAAATTTATTGTGAAAAGTGCCATACAAATTAATTAGAATAAAAAAAATAAAATCTTCAGGTACATTACCATTTAAAAGTTGGGGTCGGTAGAATTTTAAAATGTTTTTGAAAGAAGTCTCATGCTCATTTGTTTAATGAAAAATACAATAAAAACAGTAATATTGTGAAATATTATTACACTTTAATGTACCTGTGTTCTATTTCAATGGATTTTAATATTTAATTTATTCCTGTGACGGCAAAGCTGAATTTTCAGTAGTCATTACTTCAGTCTTTAGTCACATGATTATTCAGAATATGCTAATATTAGTATATGCTGTTCTATTATCACAGTTGAGAATGGTTGTACTAATAGTTTTGAATATTTGTTTTCTTTAAAGTTCAAAAGAACAACATTTATTTCAAGTAGATATTTTTGTAATAATGTATAAGTCTGTGCTGTCATGTTTGATCAGTTTGCTGAATAAAATTATCAATATAAATAATATAAAAACATATAATAATAAATAAATAAAAATAAAAATTCACATACCCCAAACTTTGAATGGCGGTATTGTATCTAACAGTTCAGATAATAATTTACAAATTTATTTTGGCACATTGTAATTTCACATACCCCAAACTTTTGAATGGTGGCATTGTATCTAACAGTTCAGATAATAATTTAAAAAAGTATTTTTGCACATTTATGCTGTACAATGACATCATACATTTTAATTATTTAACATTTATGTTGTATTTATAATATCACACTTATAGATTCATTTATTTACTTTTTTTTTTTTTTACACCAAAATAAACAGCTGCCTTAATATGTCAGGAAGGGGATCCTTCACAAGGGAATCATCATGTTTGGGGGCTGTTCCCATCAAAAAGTTTAAAAACCCCTGATCAAGTCAAATCAAATCTAGATGACCCACAAACACAAACACACTGTGGGCTGCCTTGATAAGGGTGACATTTTAGAATATTTTAAGAGACAATAGCAAAAAAACAAGGATTACAAAGTGGCAGAGAGAAGAAGATGAGCAGAGCTGCTCCGGTGCATTTTCTATGCCTTCGCCCTCAGACGCTGAGGTAATTTAAACCTCTCCCACACTGGGGCTCAGACAGGTTGGTGTGATGGACAGATTCAGTGGAGATAAGACTAAGCTCTTACGTGTTTGCTCCTGACCCCTTCTGAGGGCATGTCAACTTGCTGAGCTGTGCGTGAAACAGAGTTTAGAGAGAGAGCGAGGGAGAAATTTCTGATGGTGATCAAATTGTCTGCTTGACAAGCGGTTGCTGGGAGGGCTGTGCAGACCGCTCTGAAGGTAAGATCGTGTCATTCTTCGCTTTTTTCATATGTCTCAAGCACCAGATTCCTTTTGAAATTCTTCATGAAGCCTCCTGTATTAGCAGGATCATAAAGAATTGCCTTAACGATGCTTTGCAGTTTGCCAGAGTGAAATGAATTAGGCCTCCTTCACAAAGACACTTCAGCTAACCCAATTTGAACATACACAATGACAGATCTTTTCCTGTGACTCATTTTTGCTGTCAGAGAGATAGATGTGATTTCTCAGGACATCTGTAGATTCAATTATCATGATGTCACAAAAAAAAAAATGCATTGGTTCTAATGATCTAAGTGTTATATAACACACACATTTTTATTAATATTGTTAAGGTTTAAAGTGACTTGTAATCAGAGCAACTGATCCATCATTGACGAGACAACACAAATAACCATTATAACCTTAAACTATATATTTGTTGCGAAATAAACTAATTCAGCTGGCAAGTGAGTGACACCATGAAACTCTTCATCTCTTTTAAAGCCCATTGTTTCCTGCTCGGGGCGTAATATCAGTTGTTCATGGGATGTTTAGCACGTTTTGTGAGGGTGCATTGAGAAGATGACTGAGAGCTTACCTGCCTTTTAAAGAGATTTCTCATTTCTCATAATTGGATAAGTGCCTGTCTGCAAAAATGGATGAGATGCTAGAGCATATTAAGCAAGTCTAAGCCAACAACTGTTGAGAGCAAAGTATTTTTGAAGAGTGATAAATGGTCTTTGTCTTTTAAAGGGGAAAGATTGATTTAAGAGCTTTTGGGAAAATGTTTTCCCTGGAGGGAGGAATTGGGGGAGGGAGGAAAATGGATTTAGTGTTGTATGCGCAAAATAAAAAAAATCAAACAATAAGTAATTGGACAAATATCATCTTGCTCAATGAATACATAGCTGAAATATTGATCCTTCCAACCTCATGAAGATATTTTGTGATCAGAGATTGATATATTTCCTTTCCTTTCCTTTCCTTTCCTTTCCTTTCCTTTCCTTTTTCAAAGAAGTCTCTTTGGAAAAACACTGTGAAATATTATTATAATTTAATGTGTTTTCTGTTAATAT